GTTAAGTGACTGGCCCAATAAGTCAGTGACAGACTATGGCTGAGTCCAACTCTCCCTACCTCCTCTTATGACCTTTACTTCCCAAGCATCCTGTTGTCACACAGATCACAAATGGATGAATATTAGGGCAAATGCATAGAAGTTTTGAAGAAAATCTAGGAGAACTGTAGAGCGGGCATGCTAGAGCCTTGATTTTAATCAATACAGTTGAAACTACTAGGATTTAGGGGACACATTGGCCGCTTAGTCCCTTAAGGGTCTGACTCTTGATTTTTAGCTCAGGTCATGATCTTAGGATCATGAGATTGAGCCCTGCACCGGCCTCTGCACTGTCATGAGATTGAGCCCTGCATCAGCCTCTGCACTGGGCATGGAGCCTGCTTAAGATTCTCTCTCTCTCTCAAAAAAAAAAAAAAAAAAAAAGATTCTCTCTCTTCCTCCTTCCTCTGCCCCTCAACCCTGCTATCTCTCTTGTGTGCTCTCTTAAAAAAAAAAAAAAATACTACTAGAATTTAGAATATGCTGTTTTCCCCATTATTTGGCTTTCTAGTCTGGTTTAAACAGCTAACACTTCTAAAACTTTGATTTTTAATTATTCTATTAAGTATAAAAACAATTTGTTAATATATAATGACTGGAAAATACAAAAATGTCACCTACAACTTTATAAAGAAAGGGTAATGCCTATTCATACCATGGAATTTTAACTTCTGACTTTCTCTATGTGTCTCTCCCTTAGCTCTATATATAGACAGCAGGATAGACAGCTGGCTGGCTAGCAGGACGGATAGATCAATGGGTGGATAAATGGATGAATGGATCAATGGGTGGATGCATGGATTAATGGATGGGTGGATGGATGGATCAATAAGTAGATGGGTAGATGGATGACTGGATGGCTAGGTGAATGGCTGGATGGCTAGGTAGATGGCTGGCTGGCTGGCTGGATAGATGGATAGATGGCTGAATGGCTGGATAGAAGGCTGGATGGCTGGATAGATTGATAGATGGATGGATATATGGATGGATGGATGGATGGATGGATGGATGGATGGATGGATAGCTGGATAGCTGGCTGGATAGATGGATAGCGGGCTAAATGGATGGATAGGTGGATGGGTAGGTGGATGGGTGGATGGATGGGTAGGTGGATGGGTAGGTGGATGAGTGGATGGATGGGTGGATGGATGGGTGGATGGATAGGTGGATAGATAGGCAGATAGATGGATAGGCAGATAGGCGGATAGATGGATAGGCGGATAGGCGGATAGACGGATAGGCGGATAGGCGGATAGGCGGATAGGCGGATAGGCGGATAGGTGGATAGATGGATAAGCGGATAGATGGATAGATGGATAGATGGATAGATGGATAGATGGATAGGCGGATAGACGGATAGGCAGATAGGTGGATAGGCGGATAGGTGGATAGGTGGATATGTGGATAGATGGATAGATGGATAGGCGGATAGATGAATAGATGGATAGGTAGATAGATGGATAGATGGATAGGTGGATAGGTGGATAGATGGATAGGCAGATAGGTGGATAGATGGATAGGCAGATAGGTGGATAGATAGGTAGGCAGATAGGTGGATAGATAGGTAGGTAGATAGATAGCTGGCTGGATAGCTAGATAGTTAGCTGGTTGGATAGCTGGATGATAGGTAGATAGCTGGCTAGCTGGCTGGATAGATGGATAGATGGCAGCTGGCTGTATAGATGGATGGCTAGCTGGCTATACAGATAGATCTAGCTAGTGGAATAGCTATCTAGATAGTTATCTAGATAGCTAATGGTATATAGATTAAAAAATTGCTCTATATTTGGATAGACATAGATAGGTAGATAGTTGGATACAGAAAGATAGCTAGCTAACCATAGATAATTAGATAATGATAGAGATAACTAGATAATGATAGGTGGAGATAGGTAGCTAGATAGGAAGATAGAGACAGGTAGAGGTCGGTAAGTAAAGATTGATTGATAAACAGGTGTTCAGATAGGTAGCTAGATAGAGATGGGTGGCTAGAGAGGGAAAGAGAGATAGGTGGAGGTCAGATAGGTAGAGATTGACAGATAGACAAGTGGTCAGATAGAGATAGGTAAATAATGAGAGAGGAGTAGGTGGGTAGGTAGATAGCAAGAGGGGTGTAGGTAGGTAGGTAAAGAGTGAGAGTGAGAGGGGTAAGTCGGTAAAGATAGATATGTAGGTAAATAAGAAGAGATAAGGATAGGTAGAGACAGAGATGGAGAGAGGCACAGGGAGAGAGAGAGAAGCATAGGGAGAGAGACACAGAGAGGAAGAGAGAGACACACACAAAGAGAGAGAGACACAGAGAGAGACACACAGAGAGACACACAAAGAGAGAGACATACAGAGAGAGGGAGAGACAGAGATTGCAGAAGGTGGGTAGAGATGGTTAGATATGGACAGGTAGAGATGGACAGGGAGAGACAGATAGATGGATGGTCAGACATTAGACAGTTGGTTAGATAGCCTATGGGTGGATACATAAACTAAAACCTACTGTATAGGGGTGCTATGAAGATCAGGTTTAATATATGCAAAATACCTGCCCCACTTACTGGGTTCACCTGGAACCCAATAAGTGGAGGCTGTTATTATGCTTGTCATTAAACCTCCATATTCACAGTGACAAACAGGAGATGAAACCAATTTAACTAGCAACTTAGCCTGGATAATTCTTTATTCATTTAGGACAAACCGAGCCTAATTGTCAACCTAAAGAGGGTGATAAATGAAGGCAGAGCTGCTTGGGTACAAAGCTTTTTCATGGCCACCAAAAACAAATAAGCAAGCCATACATAGGAATGAGGCATTAAGCCAAACAAATAATCTGGGAGAAGAGCATTCCTGGGATGGAAACAGCTGGTGTAAAGGTCCTAAAGTGAGTGTGCTTGGCATGTCAAAGGAAAAACAAAAGAGGCCAGTGTGTCTCAAACAGCATGAGCAAGTAGGATCACAGCACATGAGGATATATATGTGATAAGACTATTTGACTTCTAATCTGAGAGAAATGGGGAGTTTCTGGCAAGATCGGACTGAAGAGTAAAATGATTTAAATTTTAAAAGTAATAGATGGCTAATAAGTGGATGAGAGGAAATATGGTAACAGGGAGTGAGGGGATGAGGCTATGTAGTGTCAGAGAATATGCTAATTCAGAACAAAGTAGATCTCACAATAGAGCTGCGAAGAAATTGTCAAAGTCTGCATGTATTTTGTTTTTCTTTTTCTTTGGTTTTTAGAGGGAGGGTGATGGGTAGAGGGAGAGAGAATCTTAAGCAGGCTCCATGCCCAGCATGGAGCTGACACAGGGCTAGATTTCATGACCCTGAGGTCTTGACCTGAGGGGAAATCAAGAATTGGATACTTAACCAACTGAGCCACCCACACACCCCAATGTCTACATATATTTTCAAGTTACAGGCAATAAGATCTTGTGATGAATTGGATATAGGGTGTGAGAGAAAAAAGCAAGGGAAGGATGGCATGATCAGCTGAAAGGATGACTTTTACATCTGCTGAGATATGGGGTAGCTATTAGTAGAATAGATTTTGGTGTACAATCAGAAGTTCACCTTTGGTATGGATAGGTTAGTGTTTGTGGGATAATGGTGAGGTTTGGGAGAGAGGTCTGAGCTGGAGCTGTAAATCTGGGAGTTGGCATATTGATGTTTTTAAAATGGAGAAAATGGATGAGTTCACCAAGAAAGTGAATCTAGTTAGAGAGTTCCAAAGACAGTCTTGTAGTGAAGAGATTGGAGATAAAAGAAGCAGTGAAAGAATGTAGGATGAGACAGTATAGATGTACTTTGAAGAAACCTCCCCCCTTGTAAGTAGGGCCAGCCCTAATCCAGAGGCAGCCCATCCAGTCTTCTTCCTGAAATTTTAGCAACTAAAAGCATTCTGTTTACAATAAGAAAACCGTTTCCCCCCACACACCCTGATTGGAATGTCCCTGAATAGGTTCATGTTGACCCTCCCCAAAATCAACCTGGATGCCATGCGACTCCCGCGGTTCTTTTGTCTTTAGGAAGTTTCTTTCCTTTTGCCTTTTAAAAGACACCTGTAATTGCTAATCGGGGCTCTTTTCCTCTTCGGAGGCGGAGAGCCCGTTTGCGCAAACGTTCAATAAACCCTCTTGCTAATTGCATCTGCCTGTCTGGGGTCTGAGTCTCTGGGGCGTCCACCGGGCCACGTTGGCACCCGTGAGCCAGGGTCCAACATTTGGGGGCTCGTCCGGGATCTGAGACGCCCCAGACTCAATCCTAAAACCGGCAGGAGGTAAGACCGAGCTCGCTAAATGTCCTATCTGTCTCGTCCGTTTGTCTGACTGGCCGGGTCTGTTTTGTGCCGGGTCTGTATTGTGCCTGCAGGACGCTGTACTCTGTATTCTGTATTTGGACCAGCGGGGGAGGCAGACGTGCCCGAGACCCCTGGTCCCCCTCCGGAGTCGGACTCCGGAGTGGTCTGGAAGAGGAACGGAGCCCCGGCACTCCCTCCTCTTCGGGGAGGGTCGTGGTTCGCGACCGCTCCCATCTGAATCTGCCGCGCCAGTCCTGTCGTTCGTGTGCGTCTGTTCGTTCCGTGTTTTTCTTCCTTTCCTGTCCTCCTCCTCACCGCTCACCCCTTCTCTACACCCATGGGGCAGACTGTAACCACCCCTTTAAGCCTCACTCTAGATCACTGGAAAGAAGTCGCCGGCCGGGCACACAATCTCTCGGTCGAAGTCAGAAGACGAAGATGGGTCACCTTCTGCTCCTCAGAGTGGCCGGCTTTCAACGTCGGGTGGCCCAGGATAATATTGACATTATCTTGCAGGTGAAGGCCCTAGTCTTCCAGCCAGGACCCAATGGACACCTCCACCAGCCGACCTAGGATGACCGCCAACAGCTCCTGCAGACTTTCCTCACCACGGAGGAGAGACAGCGCGTCCCGGGGGCGGATGGGAGGCCAACCCAGCTGCCTAATGAAATTGAGGATGTTTTCCCCTTGGTTCGCCCGACCTGGGACTACGACACTGTTGCTGGTAGGGAGCGGCTCCGTCTCTATCGCCAGGTACTCCTAGCGGGTCTCAAAGGGGCAGGGCGTCGCCCCACCAATTTGGCGAAGGTACGTGCTATAGTGCAGGGAAAAGATGAGACGCCGGCAGGTTTTCTGCAGAGGTTAATAGAAGGCTATACTGGCCACCGTAGTACAGGGCTCAGGGCAGAGTAAGTCAGGACAGAGTAGGGACCTGGGAGACAAAAGAGGACCACGGGTTGAACGAGACCAGTGTGCCTACTGCAAGGAAAAAGGACATTGGGTTAAAGATTGCCCAAGGAAGGGCCAAACGCAGGGACCTAAAAAGAAGCCCATTCCTGTTTTGTCCCTAGAAGATGAAGATTAGGGATGTCAGGGCCAGGAAACCCCCCCCCCCCGAGCCTCGGATAACCCTTAAAGTGGGGGGACAGCCGGTGACCTTCCTGGTCGATACGGGAGCTCAACATTCAGTTTTAACTGAGGCAAAAGGACCCTTGAGCTCTAAAACGTCTTGGGTTCAGGGGGCAACTGGAGGCAAGTTATATCGATGGACAACCGAACGGAAGGTCCACCTGAGCACTGGGCAAGTAACGCATTCCTTCTTACTGGTCCCAGACTGCCCTTACCCTCTCCTAGGCAGAGACCTTCTTTCAAAAGTAGGGGCCCAGATACATTTTCAGCAAAAAGGGGCCACTATTACTGGCGCGGGAGGGCAGCCCCTCCAGGTACTGACCTTGCGCCTAGAGGATGAACACCGGCTGCACGAGGACTCTCCACCGGCCGTGCAGCCCCTAGATTCTGAATGGCTCACTAACTACCCTCAGGCCTGGGTGGAAACGGCCGGAATGGGACTAGCTGTAAACCAGCCGCCCATAATTATAAACTTAAAACCCTCGGCCACCCCCATATCGATCCGGCAATATTCAATGAGCAAAGAGGCCAAAGAAGGCATTTGGCCCCATATACAGAGACTATTACAATTGGGCATTTTAATACCTTGCCAGTTGCCCTGGAATACTCCTCTATTACCCGTAAAAAAACCCGGCACAGGAGATTACCGGCCGGTACAAGATTTACGAGAGGTTAACTGGAGGCCAGAGGTGGCTGACGGAGAGCTGCAAAAAGGCTGTAGCCCTGATCCCAGCACCCACTAATGCCAAAGGACTACGAGAGTTCCTCGGCAGTGCTGGGTTCTGCTGCCTCTGGATACCCGGGTTTGCGGAGATGGCGGCTCCCCTATATCCTCTCACGAAATCCAACACCCCCTACCACTGGGGAAAGGAGCAGCAATTGGCTTTTGACAAAATAAAAAGGGCCTTATTGACTGCCCCTGCCCTGAGCCTCCCAGATGTAACCAAGCCTTTTACGCTATATGTTGATGAACATAATGGAATAGCCAAAGGGGTCCTAACTCAAAAACTGGGACCCTGGAAAAGGCCCGTGGCATACTTTTCAAAAAAAATTAGACAGCGTGGCTGCAGGATGGCCCCCATGTCTCCGGATAATAGCGGCTATGGCAGTCCTGGTAAAAGACTCAGACAAGTTGACTTTTGGCCAACCCCTCACTGTGGTGGCCCCCCACGCCGTAGAGACAGTCATCCGCCAGCCCCCTGATCGATGGCTCTCAAACGCCCGGGTCACCCATTATCAGGCCATGTTACTGAATTCTGAGCAGATACAGTTTGGAACGGCTACATCTCTAAACCCGGCCACCTTGCTTCCAGAAACCGAGTCCCCCTCCCTAGTAATGCATGATTGCCACCAGATCCTAGCTGAAGTCCATGGCACCAGAGGGGACTTGACGGACCAGCCTTTGCCAGATGCTGAAGCAACCTGGTACACCGATGGGAGTAGCTTTCTACGAAATGGCTGGACAGAAGCTTTCCCCACCAAGCGAGAAACCGCCCAGGTGGTTGTCAAGAAAATCCTGGAAGAAATTTTCCCCCGGTTTGGACTGCCCAAGGTAATAGGGTCGGACAACGGCCCCGCCTTCGTCTCCCAGGTAAGTCAGTTGGTGGCCAGATTACTGGGGATAAATTGGAAATTACATTGTGCATACAGACCCCAGAGCTCAGGTCAGGTAGAAAGAATGAATAGAACAATTAAAGAGACCCTAACTAAATTGACATTGGAGACTGGCACTAGAGACTGGGTCCAACTCCTCCCTATGGTTCTGTTCCGAGTCCGGAACACTCCCGCGCGCCATGGGCTAACTCCTTACGAGATTCTCTATGGAGGTCCCCCACCAGTAACGGACTTACTAGATTCTGCTCTTGACCCTCTTGCTAACACTCCCGGTTTACAGGACAGGCTAAAGGCGCTCCAGATTATCCAGCACCAGATCTGGAAACCCCTTGCGGCTGTCTACCGCCCCGGAGACACACCGGCCCACACCCGTTCCAGATCGGGGACTCCGCCTACGTCAGGAGACATCAGTCCAGGACGCTTGAGCCCCGCTGGAAGGGCCCATATACTGTACTACTGACCACCCCAACCGCCTTAAAGGTAGACGGCATTGCTGCTTGGGTCCACGCCTCACACGTCCAGCGCGCCCCATCAACGAGCACCGCTGACGCCAGCCAGGACGGACCAGACGAGCCACTCCAGTGGAAGCTCCACTGCACCCAAAACCCGCTCAAGATAAGACTTTCATAAATTGTTCAATGACAGTTGTTATATTCCTACCTCTCCTAGCGCTCTTCACCTCCGCCAAAGGTGACCCTCATGCCCTCAAAAGGTTAACCTGGCAGGTACTAACGTCTGGGGGTGACGAGGTCTGGTCTATAACTAAGACCGCCCCCGTGGGAACCTGGTGGCCTGACCTATATCCTGACCTTTGCAAGCTAACCATAGGGGCCCCTAGCCCATGGGACCTAGAGGGATACTTCGACACCTCTAGAGCCCCTAACCAAGAAAGCCCTCCAGGGCGACTGGGATTAGACCCATGGGGAGGCTGTGGCACGCCTGATAGAAGGGCCATGCTAAGCACTCTTCCCTTTTATGTCTGTCCCGGGCACCACAGAGATCGCAGGCTAAATCCCACCTGTGGAGGAGGGGAATACTTCTATTGTAAAAATTGGGGGTGCGAAACTACTGGGGATACAGAATGGAGGCCCTCCTCCTCCTGGGATTATATCACTGTCAAGGCTAACTATACTCACCCGACATTTAGCAAATGGAAAACCCTTAATTATGGGCCCTGCCAAGGGTGGTGTCATCCCCTACGGATATCCTTCACGGAGCCCGGAAAAAGGGCTACTTACTGGGCCAATGGATATACGTGGGGACTCAGGTTATACAAAGAAAGAACAGATGATGGTTTTATATTCAGAATTAAACTAAAAATAGAATCCCCAGACCCCGTGGCGATCGGGCCTAACGCGGTCCTCGGGGAACAAAGAGCTGCCCCGGCCCTAGCCGCAGGGAGCGCCGCACCCACTAACTTCGCGGTCACTCCAACCCCTCGGTCGTCACCCGAGACTGGACAAATCTTATCATAGGGGCATTCCTGGCCCTTAATCGAACCAGCCCCGATGTAACTAAATCCTGCTGGCTCTGCCTTGCACCACCCCCCCTTATTATGAGGGAATTGCTACTTCAGGGACCTATAATAACATCACTAGCACTCAGGGATGCACACCCGACTCCCAACCACAACTCAGCCTTACAGAAGTTACAGGACAGGGAACCTGCATAGGAACACCCCCCCCCCCCGGGGCTACCAGAGACTCTGCAACACTACCACCCCGATTTTGGGGACTGATTCTTACCTGGAGCCCCAGCCGGGAACTTGGTGGGCATGCAACAAAGGCCTCACCCCCTGTGTGTCGGCTAAGGTTCTAAATAGCTCAAACGACTTCTGTGTCATGGTGCAGATCATACCCAGGGTGTTCTATCACCCTGCTGAAACTCTAGAAAATCAGTATGATAAACATCCCACCCGTTTTCGGCGCGAACCTGTCTCCCTAACCTTAGCCGTTATGTTGGGACTAGGGGTCGCTGCTGGGGTGGGTACTGGCGCAGCTGCTCCGATCCAGGGCTCACGGCGTTATCTAGAACTCCAAACAGCTGTAGATGAGGATCTACGGACACTAGCGCAGTCCGTTTCTAAGCTAGAACAGTCCCTCCCCTCACTTTCAGAAGTAGCACTTCACAACAGGAGAGGCTTGGATTGACTATTCCTGAAAGAGGGAGGACTGTGTGCGGCCCTGGGAGAGGAATGCTGTTTCTATGCAGACCATTCTGGAGTCATCAGAGACTCCATGGCCAAACTCAGGGAAAGGTTAAATAAAAGACAAAGGGACCGGGAGGCCCAGCAGGGCTGGTTTGAAAGCTGGTTTAATCAGTCTCCCTGGTTGACCACCCTAATCTCTACCATTCTGGGCCTCTAGTTATCCTGCTCCTGCTGCTAACTTTCGGCCCCTGCGTCCTCAACCGGCTGCTCCAGTTCATCCGAGAAAGATTGTCTATTACCCAAGCTCTGGTATTAACTCAGCAATGTCGGGCCCTCCAAACTGAAAAAATAAATGTTCCCTAAGATTTTAAGGTTAAAATCAGCCCAAACAAGAGGAGGGAATGAAGAAACCTCCCCCCTTGTAAGTAGGGCCAGCCCTAATCCAGAGGCAGCCCATCCAGTCTTCTTCCTGAAATTTTAGCAACTAAAAGCATTCTGTTTACAATAAGAAAACCGTTTCCCCCCACACACCCTGATTGGAATGTCCCTGAATAGGTTCATGTTGACCCTCCCCAAAATCAACCTGGATGCCATGCGACTCCCGCGGTTCTTTTGTCTTTAGGAAGTTTCTTTCCTTTTGCCTTTTAAAAGACACCTGTAATTGCTAATCGGGGCTCTTTTCCTCTTCGGAGGCGGAGAGCCCGTTTGCGCAAACGTTCAATAAACCCTCTTGCTAATTGCATCTGCCTGTCTGGGGTCTGAGTCTCTGGGGCGTCCACCGGGCCACGTTGGCACCCGTGAGCCAGGGTCCAACACTTGTAGGTGCACGTGGTGGTCATCCTCTGAGAAGTCCTCCTTATACTGCTCTAAGTTGGTTTGTGAAACATCCAATAAGGTCACCAGTGGGAAGTTAGGCTAGAGAAAGAAATGATAGGGGTTTAAAGAAGAATGGTAGAAAATAGTCATAACCGAGAGAGCATGAATAGGCTGAGAAGTTTTCCAGTAATTGCCTGGCAGCAGAAAGGACTCATTTTGAAATTTCTGTGTATAAAGTTAAAGTGAAACCTAGTGACAACGTGAGCTTTTCTTTAGGCCCACTTGCAGCTTCGTGGGTGCAGATGTAGTGTAGGTGGAATGTTGAATTTTATCAGGATGTGGTTTTGTCAAACTTTGTTTCAAAGTTGGAAGAGGGTAAGGAACAGAAGGGTATATGCAAAGGAGAGATGATGCTTCCCCATGCCATCTTAACTAGAAGATAGTAAGTAAGGAGATCTAGTAGAGGATGGTTTATGAAAAGTTCATAGAATGAAAGGACTACGAAGCCCCCTGAAATTGGAGAATCAAATAATTTTGACTCTAGGTAAGATACAATTTACATAGAACATATTGAGCCAACATTTTGTGGCTGCTTACATTGTGTGCTGAGTGGTTTCTAGCATATTTTCACTTGATCCTCACAAATTTTTTTACAGAAGCACTTAGTGCTATTCCTCATATAAGAAGACTGTGAAGTAATATAGATTCAAATTTACCCAAAATAGCTAGGAAATTCAAAAGCTTCAGTTTAATTTAAATTCTTTATCTAGGTTTGTGTTACCTTCAAACTGTTCTATATAATCAAGTCTAAAGGAGTGTTTCTTAATATAATAACTTTGTGTGCCTTACGATTTTTACTTATTTTTAATATTGACATGAATTTGAGAGCTTACTATTCATGTTATTTTATCCTACACAAAGTTTGATTTGGGATTTTTTTGTGTGTGTGTCCATACCTGAGGAATTTATGAAAAGTTAATTAGGAAATTAATATATTTAAAAAATATTATCCACCCTGAGACTGATTTTCGGTCTTATATAATGCCAGACCGTGAAAACAATAGTGTCATTTCACTGGAAACCAACAAAATCCATTCAAACTATGTGGAAATAGATATGTTAAGGTATTTGGAGATCACTCAAAACTTCTTGGACTTTAGATAATAGTTGTGAATTTTTGTTAATCTTGGATGTGAAAATATATTTTGGCTTAACTCTAAAGTCTTTTAGAAGTACACACAAAAGTAATAAAGATGAAATAATCAGATGCAAAAAAAAAAAAAAAGAAATAATCAGATGCTTGAGATTTACTTTCATGTACTCCAGAAAGAAGAAAATATAGGGGGTGGGTATGTGCATGCACATTTTGGAGGTGGGGGAAGGAGTGGTAAATGGAGGGATGTATGAAGTAGAAGAGCAGAAAATTGGCAGTAGTTGAAATGAGGTGATATGTACATAGGTAATCTACTTTTAGAAATATGTTTGAAATTTTCATAGTCACAAAGTTACTAATTTGTCATCCTGGAGGATATCCTAATTTTAAAGATGCCAAAAGAGCTCATGCTAGTAGCTGGATGTGGCCAGAAAATTGCTTAAGTAGAGCTAAATGCTAAGATACCTCCAATTGACCATGAAAGGATAATCATTTGCTATAAATATAAACATTTTGAAGGTCATGAGTTTCTGAGTACAGTTTCTTTTTTGTTTTATACTCTTTTAAATATTTGAAGAATATTTCTGAAGGCCCCTCAGTCAGTGATTCTCTGTCATTTTAGTGCTATACATTAACTTTTTGGGGAATGGAAGAAATAGATGCCACCATTTGGACTATTTTATTGTTGTTGTTTGTTTTTAAGTAACGATCATCATTTTTGGTGCTCTCTTAATTCAATGGTGGATTAATACTGTTTGATAATAGCCATCTATCTATTTTGGTCCTATGCCTGAAAGACTTTCTCATCCGTAGTTGATTGGAGTCAATATTTGACCTATGTGGTTAGATTCAGGTTGTTAAATTGAACAGTATTTTAAATAATAAAAAAAATAATTTGATTTGGAAAAAAAAGAGAGAAGAAAATAGACAAATAAACCTACTAGGTCAGTGCTCCATTTGTTCAAAGTGTGAATTCCACAAGTTTAATAGCCAGTCATCAGACTTAAAAGACTGAGAAGGAAGCTTATTGATTTGGAAATTAAACATCTGCCAATAACTTGAGTGTACTTTATGTAGCAAAATGATGAAAATATGTTTTGGTCATTTAACTTTAAATCACCCATCAAGTGCATATTGTCCCCTGTGTAAATTTTAGTCTAATCAAAAAAAAAAAAAAAACGCACAAAAATAAAATGAGTTATGTAGGACATAGGATACCACTACATGGCTTTACAAATATATATATATTCCTTATGAACATGATTTTGAAGGTGAGGGAATTCGACTTATATAGTCTTGCATTTCATAAATAGGTAGAATATGCAATCTATATTAATAAATTACTAGTACCTTTTTATGAATAGTGTGGTATTAAATATTATTCAATAGTGTCCCATTATATTTAGCACATTGCATTTTTGCAATACAGTGATTAGGGA